CTTCGAATTGAAAGAGGTTGTCCTCCAGCGAAGTACTTGGTCACTGGGGTCGAACTCCACCGTGTGTCTAGCCAGATTGACCTAGGCGTCGTACGCTCTTCGGCTCTACACTCCGACGACAAATGGAAGAAGGCCGCAAGCAGAGGTTTCCGCATGTTGTGGTTAATCCTACGTTCTTTCGGAGCCTTGACGGGCGGCATCCGTTAAATGCACTACTGAAGGCTTAGAGGAGACCTAAGCCTAAGCTACCGTATCTTGACTGGGAAGGTTGGTCCAGATTTATCTTGGCTATTCAGTCCCGCTAGGTTGTCTGTTCTACGCGATCATTCGTTGAAGCTGGACAAACCGCTGTCCGAACAGATTAGGGCGGAAATCCGGCTGTCAGGCAGAGTCATCGACCGCTGGAACATGCTTCCGGAAAGCGTTATCAGGGAACCTACGGTTTAGGGGTTTGAGCGGCAACTTGACGCTCTTCGGTGGCAACACGAAACCTTTCCATTTTCCTTAGTAACTCGCATCTTCGTACTTCGATTTTCTTTTCTCTACTTTTCTTCACGTATTGGTATTTTTTCCTTATTTAAGTGTACTTCCCTATTCTTTACCTTCGATTTCTCTTCATATCCCTTGCTCACTTCACGTGACTGCCACAGCAGGGACTGCTAGGGCAGGAAACGTGGGCATTAACTGGTTGGCCAGGGTGCAATACGAGTGTTTTCGTTTTAGATCCATCAATAACTGAGCACTTCATCAATTCCTGGCTTAACGATCCACTCAAAATGGAACACTCACGGGATTCTCCTATCGTTCCAGTCCCCATCTGAACTAAACTGAACTGAACAGTCGAAAGATCATTGATCATTGATCAGTCCACTGAAGTCTTTTTTTAGTGAAGAAAAGCGATTCTAGCTTGTTTCCGGAGAATCGCGACATAGTTGGACTACATTTTCCATGGCGTCCAAATGCTTGTCTTGCGCTAAAGGAGTGACTTCTCGTTCCAAAGCCGTACAGTGCTCTGGATGTGACGGCTGGATGCATATTGCTTGCTGTGGCATCGGTCCTGATCAGTATGAAGCACTAGAGCGGATGACTTCTCCAGCCATTGTTTTCTTTTGTGATGTCTGCCGTACTTCTTTAAACAACAGACGTCTCGTGAATGGTCTCTCCGCGATCAGCCCTCATCCCATTCCAATGACACCTAATTACTCCCCATTCTCCCGCTTCTGCCTCCGCACCAGCCTCTCCTACAGGTAAGCGAAGTCGCGGGCGGTCTGACTCTTTCCCACAGCCGTTGGATTACGTCCATCACAGCGAGACCATGACAAAGACATACGCATCGGTTGTAAAGGAAAGTACCACCGCATCTGGTGATATGTATAACGCCAAGACTAAGTCGAAGTCTAAATCCAAGCCTTCCTCTTCTCAGTCGCAGCTCAAATCTGTCCTTGACAAGATTAACCATTTGGAATCGCTGATCAGAGACAGCGCAAATCCTTCCCAACCGCAAACCACCAGGCGTACCCTACCACCCTCCCGTGACCGGTGTCTCATCATTATGAATGCGCCTGAGTCGACCAAAGATGCCCCAGCCGGACGGATGTTAGACGACCAAGTGTTCCTGGAACGACTTATCTCTGTGTTATTCGACGAAGGCGAACAGGGAATCAACATTATCTCGGCTTTCCGCTTAGGTAAGAAACAAGAGGATTCCCCCAAGCCTCGCCCCCTTAAGGTTGTGTTCCAAAACGAGGAAGAATGTCGACGCATCCTCCTACGGACCTCACGGCTCAAAGGCAAGCCGTTTCATGTGTTGAGAGATCTCTCCCCGGAAGATCGGATCAAAATGAAAAAAGCCGTTGATGAGCTGAGGACCCGTCGGGCGAATGGTGAAACGGACCTTCATATCGCGGATTTTCAGGTAGTTCGGAGAACTCCAAGAACCCGTTGGAGACCGATTTTTCTCACCCCAGGACAGTAACGCAAAAGAACGGACTGCGTGTGCTGTTCGCTAATGTTCGTAGTCTGCGAAATAAACTTGATGAGATCCAGACGCTTGCCGCAGATGTTTGTCCTGATTTAATGGCCTTCACTGAAACATGGTTATTCCCTGACATCATTGACTCTGAAGTATCTAGCCCTGGATACCACCTTTCTCGGGCCGATCGTCATGGGAGAAAGTCGGGAGGCGGCGTGATACTATACTGGAGAGCGGATCTGAAGTCCCATCTAGTTGAGGTCTCATGTGACAATGACAGCGATTTTGATGCCCTCTGGTGTCGCATTCATGACGGGTGCAGATCTTCTTTGATTGGTGTCATCTACAGAGCGCCACTGGGCGCGGGAGCTCGCCTGTTGGAACTGATCAAGAAGCACGGTGCTGGAAAAGATTGTCTTATTCTGGGAGATTTCAATGTTCCTAATATCGACTGGGAATTCTTTCTTTGCACTCGTCCACCTGATTCCTTTGGTGCCGCTTTCCTTGATACCATTCTCGACTGCAGCCTGTATCAACATGTGTCCATGCCTACTCGCATTCTCGCCGGCCAGTCGCCTCCTATTCTGGATCTTGTGCTCTCCCCAGCGCAGTCAGACGTCATGGACCTAACAGTCTCCCAACCTATTGGTAAAAGCGATCATTGTACTATTTTATTCCAATGGACTCGTCGCTTTACCGTTCACAACTCACGTGCCGTTCGCCGAAATTCCTGGCGTACCGATGCCCTTCGTCTTAAAACGGCTGCAAGCAGTATGGATTGGTATATTCCCGAACAGCTCAATGTGGACGGTGCCTGGAATCTTCTGTACTCCAAGCTGACATCACTCATTGAGCAAGTTGTCCCCATTTCCAAAAAGCGACCGCTCTCTAGAGGCCCTCCATGGATCGACCGTGATCTGAGATCCCTAATGAACAGAAGACGTAAGTTGTGGGACCGCTTTAGGATCACGCGGTCAGAGCGTGACTACATCAGTTACAAAACGGTTAGGAATACCTGTACCCTGCAAAAACGTTAGAAACGTCAACGGGATGAACTCTCTCTAGCCACACTTTCTAGAAACACTCCTAAGACGCTTTTCTCCTACCTCAAACGGAGCACTAGAGCAGGCAGTGGTATCCCTGTCCTGTGTTCTTCCGAACATGAGGAGCCAGTTCACGAAGACACCGACAAAGCCAGCCTCCTGGCTCGGCAATACTCTTCAGTGTATTCAACCTCAGCGTCTTTTACTGACAGAACAGTGTGCACTCCCCCTTCTCTGTTAGAGCACGTCGATATTAACACTGACGTCGTGTTGAAACTTCTCTGTGCGTTGGATCCTTACTCATCGCCTGGTCCTGACGACTTGCACCCTTTGTTCCTCAAGACTGTGGCTCAGTACATTGCTTCACCTGTCACGCAGGTTTTCCGTCGATCGTTTCAGTCCGGACTTCTCCCGACCGCTTGGAAAATGGGCATCATCAAGCCCATATACAAAGGAGGGAACCGGCAAGACCCAGCTAGCTACCGGCCCATCTGCCTTACATCGATAGTGTGCAAAATCATGGAACGGGTCCTGAAACAGGCGCTTCGACTTCATCTTGAGCGGTTGAATCTGATATCCAGTGCCCAACATGGTTTTCGCAAAGCTCGCTCCTGCTCTACCAACTTGCTTCTGGCTAGAGAAAAGTGGGCAAATTCATTGGATGTTGGCAAACGCATGGATGTTGTGTTCGTGGACTTCAGTAAAGCTTTTGATAAAGTCCCTCATGAACAGCTTCTCTACAAACTCAGAGGAATCGGTATCTCTGGAAACTTTCTTTCCTGGATTTCTGATTTCCTACACACTCGTTCCATGCTGGTGAGAGTGAAAGAAACGTATTCCGATCCTGTTCATATGACCAGCGGTGTTCCACAGGGCTCCGTCCTCGGCCCCGAACTCTTCAACATCTTCATCAACGATCTACCGTCGGAGCTTCAATCGGATTGCTTGATTTATGCGGATGATTTAAAGATATGGAAGGAGGTATCCTCTCTAGAGGATGCTGATCGACTACAAGAGACACTCGATCTCCTGCACACTTGGTCGATTCAGTGGCATTTACCCATTAATCAAGACAAATGTTCCGTCCTGCCTATCGGCGCTCCTGAACCACTCGGCGCGTACCACATAGGTGGTTTCTTGCTAAAAAATGTTACATCAGAAAGAGATCTGGGCGTGTAGTGTGCTCACCCCAACACTGGCACCCGAAGACCGCGGTTTCGTCCTGGTTGGGACTCATCAGATCATTGTTTCCCAGGACTTAAGATCCACTCAGGACACCATGAAGAGGGTTGCCGCTGCCTACAGAATGTTTCATGCCATCCGAAGAGCTTTCTGTCGCTTGACACCGGAACTCTTTAGACTTCTGTTCACCTCGCATGTGCGCCCGATTTTGGAATACGGCCTTCCTGCTGCCTACCCGCTTTCCAAATGTGAGCGCGACATGATGGAAAAGGTCCAACGGCGTGGATCGAAGTTTGTCTCCGAGTTACGTGACCTGCCGTATCCCCTTCGGCTTCGGCATTTGAACATGTTTTCTATGGATTACCGCCGTCGGCGTGGGGACTTGATCTTTACCCGTCGTATCCTCAGGGGAGAACTGGGGAGAGAGTTGCAGGAATTCTTCCACCTCAACATCGGGAGTTCGACTAGAGGCCACCAATGGAAACTATTCAAGCCACGGAGGCTCAAAGTACGGTCCATTCTTGCTCTATCCACTCGCGTTGTGAATAATTGGAACCAGTTACCGCCGACAGTCGTTGATGCACAGACAGAGGATTACTTCAAACGACTGCTTGATACACACCTGTTGAATATGCCGGGATCGTGTTGCTTCAGCTACGAGTGCGACGGCCTCTCCGGAGTTCCCGTTGCGCAATGACGAGCATGCCAGCAATGATCGGGAAGCGATGGAGCTGACAAGGGATTTCCCCTCCTGCTCTCTACTACCCCAATGAACCCAATGAACTGAGCTACCTAATGGCGACACCATTGAGAATCTGCGAATAGCGTCGCCCTTCCAAATTCTCGGATTTCGTGAAAGATTTTCTTTTGATTTTACGAGTGTGATGAGCTACCCGGTTCGTTATCTGTGACGTCAAATGCCTAAGTTGCAGTAAAGGTGTGACCTCGCCTTTTAAGGTCCTACAGTGCTCTAGGTGTGACGGATGGCTGCATAGGCTTTCGACTCAGTAAATCACCGTTTCCTACTTGAAAAATTAGCATGGCTCGGAGTACATCCTAGACTTCTGTCTTGGGTGTCAGAATTCTTATGTGGGAGAACGTTTCGAGTTAGAATCGGTGATGTGAGTTCTAGTGTGGGCGTGGCCTACAGTGGAGTACCCCAAGGATCGGTGCTAGGTCCACTTTTGTTTCTTATGTTTATAAACGACTTAGCTCCTCTTATTGAAGACCCCTGTTACATCTTTGCGGATGACTTGAAGCTAGTCAGCAGGGGCAACCGTGCAACACTGGCCAAGGATATCATCAGTGTGGCAAACTGGTCGAAGCAATGGAACTTACCCTTGAATGCAAGCAAGTGCCAAATTCTGACCACTAGTAGAGACGTACTTGCAGTTCAGACTTCCTTTGGGCCCTTCCCCTTACAATGCACTACCCAGGCACGCGATTTAGGAGTCATCATGACGAGCAGCTTCAAGCCTTCGATGCAATGTCGATACGCCGCCAACAAAGCGCGATGAGAATTGTTTCGCCTCAGGAGGGCTCTGTGTAATACCAAGCCAGAAGTGTTCCTGCCACTATACAAAGCAGTGGTTAGGCCACACTTAGAGTATTGTGTTCACGCTTGGTCGCCCTATCTCCGTGATGATGTTCTTTGCCTGGAGAAGATTCAAAGACTAGCAACCAGGATGGTTGAAGGTCAACGGGGGAAGCCGTATGAAGATCGCCTAAAGAGCCTGGGGTTGTTTTCCCTTGAACGGCGTAGACTGAGAGGCGATCTGATAGAAACATTTAAGATCATGAAGGGCTTCAGTGCCATCGTGCCCTCTGATTTATTTGAGCTGGCTGATTCTGAACGCTTGCGTGGACATCGCTTGAAGCTCAAACAACAGAGAGCTAGACTGAACGTCAGGGCTAAGTTCTTCTCAAATCGTGTAGTGCGCAACTGGAATAAGTTGCCTTCGGAACTAATGGATTGTGAGACTGTGGTTGCCTTCAAAGCAGGCCTAGACAGGTGCTGGCCGCGTATTTTTCCGGAATTAATATAATCCTATCCAATTTATTTGCATTGTTATCCGATGTTGATCCTTGTAAAAGCAAAGATTGCTCTCGCTTTTACATCATTTCTTTTTGCAGAGGCAAGGAGAGGCGATCAAAAGTCGAAGTGCCGGGGGCTCTGGTTCGCTTACCGGTACAAGAAGCTGGACGCTCGTTAGGCGGAAGCCTGTATCGTCCACGGATTTTTTTTTGGCCTCTTGCATGCTGCGACATTTGTCCTGAACTGAGTTTCTGCAGTGATATACTACATCGACTATCAGTTTCCTGTAGCCCCTGCCGTACTTCATTAAACAGTCGGCCCCTTCACGCCTGTCTGCCGTTCTTGAGCCCTCCTTCTACGCCAACGAATTTCGATGTTCCCACTGCATTGGACTCTCTTGTCTCATCACCTTTATCCTCCACACCTAATTCCGGCTCAGCTACCCCCACGGGTAAATGAAGCCTTGTCCCATCTGCTTCCCAATCAATCGGGGCGACTTGCTCCTCACGTATCGTATATTAATGGGTCAGATTGGTCTTGATTTGACTGGACTGTTTCGCTCAGCTCGAGTGCCAACCCTTAGTCGCCACCCATTAAAGTTGCACAAAACCCGGTTTGACCGGGTTTTGGCAGCTTTTCGGTTATCGCGTAGGGTCATAGCTTATTGGAACGCATTGCCTGCGGACGTCGTGACGGCACTGATTTTGAGAGTTCGAGCATCGACTTGACGCTCTCGGTCTGCAGTTTAAAGTCTTCCCCATTGTCTTAAACTTTTCTTCGTCTACTACGGCCTATGCTTCTTTAACTCATTTTACCTTACATCCCAACATTGCCTACGATATTTGATAATCTTGTTTTCTCCTCTGTTTCCTTTCCTTTACGGATACTACAGTTTTCTTTTCTTCACGTGGCCGGCACAGCAGGGACTGCTAGTGCAGGGCACGTGGGCATTGTTTGGTTGATCGTGTGAATCGTGTGTGTTAATTTGGCTCTCCTTTGGTACATCAAAGCACCGGTTTCCCTTTTGAATCAACGACGTTTTCCAAGGTGCAACATTCGTGGGATTTTCCTACTGTTCAGGTCCCACTTGAACTTGAACTTGACACATGCATTGCCCAGTTAGCCCACGACTGAGACATATGCTGCCGTGGTGAGGAAAATTCTCACGGTCCCAATGGGTCGGAGTCAAACTATATGTAATGTTCAAGCGAAGTCTAAGTCCAAACCCAAGAAAAATGCCTCCCAGACCCAGAGGAAATCTGTTCTCGACAAAGTCAACTAGCTGGAAAAGTTGATCAATTACTGTGCGTCACCACAGCCGCAAATCTCTGGCCGCGCTTTACCACTTTCTCGTGAAAGATGTGAACGCTCCAGAATCCACCAGGGACACCTTGCAGAAAGGATGCTGGATGACCAAGGGTTACTTGAGCGAATGACTACCACTTTATTCGATGGTGAATTGTGTATGAACATTATCTCTGCCTTCCGCCTGGGCAGGAAGCAAGAGGATCCTTCTAAGCTACCCCTCCTCAAGATCGTATGCCAAAGCGAAAAGAAATGCCGACGCATCCTCCGGAAACCCGACGTTTGAAAGGTGAGCCTTTTTACGTTCTGCGAGATCTTTCTGCGGAGGATGGTATTAATATCAAAACAGCCGTTTATAAGCTCCGGTCCTGCCGAGCGAATGGTGAAACAGACCTCCACATCGTGGATTTTCGCGTAATCCGAAAAACCTCGAGAACCCGGTGGAGGCCAATGCCCAACCCAGGACTGCGTGTACTTTTTGCCAATGTACGCAGTCTGAGAAGTAAACTTGATGAGGTACACATGCTTGTGTCAGATACTCGCCCAGACTTGATGGCTTTTTGCGGACATCATAGAGTCGGCGGTTTCTATCCTCGGATACAGTCTCTGTCGAGCTGACCGCCTTGGAGGTAGGCCCGGTGGCGGCGTCACACTTTACTGGAAGGCCGAACTCAAGACCTATTTGGTTGCATCTACTAGTGGCGATGACGGTGATTTTGATGCCCTTTAGTGCCGTGCTCATGATGGATGCAGATCGCTATTGGTGCTGTCTACAGCGCGCCATCAGGATTCGGTTCAATTGCTCGACTCGTTCAGGAAACACGGCGCGGGAAAGGACAATCTTATCGTGGGGGTTTTAATACCCTAAATATCGATTGGGACTTACTTATTTGTGGTCGTCCACCTGATTCCTTTGATGCTACCTTACTTGAGATTGTTATCGACTGTAATTTGTTTCAGCACATCACTATGCCAACCCGCATTGTTCATGACCAAACGCCAAACATTCTAGACCTTGTGCTCACCCCAGCTCAGTCAGATGTCACGAACCTAACAGTACTTCAACCCATCGGCAAAAGTGATCATTGTGTCGTTTCATTCCAATCGACACGTCGCGTCACCATCCATACCCAAGGTGATTGTCGTCGGAACTTTTGGCATGCGGATCCACTCCAACTGAGAACAGCCGCAAGCGCTTGGACTGGAGTATTCCTGATCCCATTCCTCTTGATGATGCGTGGAACCTTGTGCTCTCTAGATGACTTCTCTAATTGAGCAGGTCGATCCTTTCTCCCGTAGGAAGTCCTTCAAAAGGGGTCACCTTGGATTGACAGTGAATTGAGATCTCTGATAAACAGAAGGCGCACATTGTGGTATCGTTTCGGGCAATCTCAAACAGAATCCGATTACTCTTCCTACAAGGCTATCAGTAATGTTCGTGTCACTTTGAAGCATCAGAAATGTCAGCACTGAACTATCATTAGCAGTACACTCCAGAACGACATCCAAAATGCTTTTCTCTTATCTGAAAGGAAGCACCAGGGCTGGCTGTGGTATCCCTACCTTGTGTTCCTTTGAACATCGAAATTTACTTTACGAAGACGTTGATAAAGCCAGTCTTTTGGCCCAGCAGTACGCCTCTGTCTTCGCGAAAGAAACTCTAGCCTGCGACAATACTGTGTCTAGTTTTCCTTATCTGTTGAATTAAGTTGACATTAACATCAATTCTGTGCTTAAACTTCTCCTTGATTTAGATCCGCATTCTTCACCCGGCGCGGATGGCTTGCACCCCCTTTTCCTTAGGGCTGTGGTGCAGTACAACGCCCCTCCTATCTGTCAGCTTTTCCGTCGTTCTTTTGAAGCTGGGCGTCCCCCCTCGGCTTGGAAAGTGGGCATTGTCAAACCCATATAAAAAGGAGGGAACAGGCAAGATCCAGCCAACTATCGTCCTATCTGCTTAACGTCAATATTGTGTGAAGTTATGGTGCGAATCTTGAAGCAAGCTCTTCATCTCTACCTCTAGTAACTAAATCTCCTCTTGTGCACTGTATGGTTTTCGTAGGGCACGCTCATGCACCTCGAACTTACTAGTTGCTGAGGAGAAATGGGCGAAATCCCTAGATTCCGGTAAACGCCTGGACGTTGTGTTTGCGGATTTCAGCAAAGCTTTCGACAGGGTTCCGCACGAACGACTTAAACTTCGAGGAATCGGTATCGCCGGGAATCTTCTCTCTTGGATGTCTGATTTCCTTCGCGACCGCACGATGCAGGTGCACGTGAACGAAACATTTTCCTCCCCTGTTCTCATGACTAGTGGGGTCCCACAGGGTTCTCTCCACTGCCCCATGCTTTTCAACGTCTTCGTCAATGACTTGCCGTCCACACCAGACGGATTGCCTAATCTACGCCGATGACCTGAAGTTGTGGATGGAGGTACCCAGTATGGAAGATGCTGATAGGTTGCAATCGACACTCGATCTGCTACATGATTGATCAATTAAGTGGCATTTACCAATGGATCGTTAGGTGTTCGGTTCTTCCAGTTGGTGCATCTGACCCATTTGGAATCTACCATATTGGTGGTTCCTTGCTCAGAGACGCCACTCAGGTGAGGGATTTGGGAGTGATAATTTCGCCTGACCTCAGATGTAATGAAGATACCAAGAAAATGGTCGCTGCGGCCCACAGGATGTTTCACTCTATACGCAGAGGCTTCTCACCTCACCCCGGGGATCTTCCGACTTCTGTTTACTTCACATGTACGCCCGCTTCCCAAATACGGGCTACCTGCCGCCTACCCTCTTACGAACTTTGAATGTGCTATGATTGAAAAGCTTAAACGGCGTGCATCCAAATCTGTTCCTGTGCTGCGGGACCCGTCCTATTCTCTCCGACTCAAACCACTGAACCTCTTCCTTGGATTACCGTCGTCATCACGGAGACTTGATCTTCACCCGATGTATTCTTAGAGGATACTTGGGGAGGGAATTACAGGAATTCTTTCATCTCAACACAGAGTTCAACAAGAGGCCACAGTTTGAAACTGTTTATACCGAGAAGTCATCGAGTGCGATCCAGCGTGTCTTTATCCACTCGCGTTGTAAATGACTGGAACCGCTTTCCGGAGTTCATCGTCGTTGCCGAGGCCGAAGAATGTTTCAAGCATTTATTGGATTCTCATTTTAGTTTACGGGGATCCAGCTGTTTCCAATGCCGCTTCAGTGGTTTTCTGTGGGACCTTGTTCCGCAATGACCCAGGCTATCTCCGCAACGATTGGGAAGTGACGGAGCCGACAAAGAAACTTCCTTCTGCTCTTTACCATCCAATGATCTCCAGTTCGCCTAGCACAGCTACCGAACCACAGCCGCTGCTACGCAAAACTCAGATGTGGGAGTTCATTGAGTTGTAGAGAGCAGGAAAGAAATCCCTTGTCAGCCCCATCGATTCCGATCATACTGGGTTTGATGCGTGTCGTTGCATTGCGACGTCCTCGAGGGCTCGTCGCAATTGCAGTGACAGACGCAAGATCCAGCATTCTTCAGCTAAGTGTTGTCTATCTGCCGCTTCGAACTTGTCATCGGGTGGAGCGTCTGCCACTTTCTTCTCACTAGGCTGTTCCAATCATTCACACACTAGTAAAAAGGGTGACGTCATGCGAATTCTGTCTTTTTGCTTGACAGTTTCCATGTGTCTATAAATTTGAG